CTCTAATAGGCTTGCAGCATTTGAAATACTGAGATGACCAAGGATACTAGGTCAATTTATAGAGCTTATAAACTAGGAGATAAGATATACGTGAAAATTATAATAAACATGATGAGATATGATTTTGCCTTTCTAAATATATACACTGCAACATAATTAAGAAAGAGGGTATTATTGCTTGCCAATCACACATTCTAGGAAAAGAGAGAATTTGAGTTTGAGAACACTTCCAAGAAGCAGTGATTGTGAAAGCTTATTATAGGTAACTCAAGATAAAAGAGTAATTCTGGGCAGTGTTGAAAAGATCTAAGCCTGTCTGATGGGAAGTATGTGATTCAGGTTGTCGAAATATCACTTTAAAGGATACAGTGATTCAATGAAACCATAGTGAAAGTAAGACAATATGTATCCTGATGGTAGGAAGCCTAAGTGAAAACTTTGTTATTCACTCCAACAATCAAATCTTTATTATTAATTTACAATAAAACAACCATGGTCATTTATATCACACTATATTTTTTTAATTTGACAGAGTTAGACAGTGAGAGAGAGACAGAGAGAAAGGTCTTCCTTCCATTGGTTCACCCCCCAAATGCCTGCCACAGCCGGAGCTATGCCGATCCGAAGCCAGGAGCCAGATGCTTCCTCCTTATCTCCCATGTGGGTGCAGGGCCCAAGCACTTGGGCCATTCCTCCACTGCCTTCCCGGGCCACAGCAGAGAGCTAGACTGGAAGAGAAGCAACCGGGACTAGAACCTGGTGCTCGTATGGGATGCCGGCGCCACAGGTGGAGGATTAACCATGGGAGCCACGGCGCTGGCCCACACCACATTTTTTAAAAGCATAAATCATTTGTTATTCTGATGAATAACTTCACTGCATTGCTTCATAAATATATCTTTTCTAGGAAACAAAGAGTAAATATCAGACATGTATCCTAGAATATCAGCAGTGATCCCAATAGAGTTACTCAGCTTGTCTCTCCAACTGGATATTGCATTTATTTTTTTCTTTTTTGTTATGTATTCAGATTCATGTATGTTATGAATATGGAAACTGTATTAAGGGCCCTTAGTAACTTGGTTTTCTTAAAAATATGAGCTTAAATATAAAATGAGATTACATTATCATTTGAGATATAAAATCTAAAGTCAGCATTAAATAAATCTAATTACAAAAGTCCACTGAATCTCAAATAGAATAGCATCATCCCAGGAGAAAACTATATGGAAAATGGAATGGACATGTTCTTGTGTTAGAATTTTCATCTGAGACAATTCGTGAGGTAAAAAATGTCAAACACAGAACTATCAAAGAGCAACAAAGCACATAGGAGAAGAAAATCCTGCCACTGCAATAATGAGCCTTCTCCTTTGGAGAGGATTCAATGTTGTCTGATCTGTTCCTGGTTAGTGAAAGTGGTCAAATAACAGAAAGAATCCACAGACTGTTTTTCTCACAACTGATGGAGGAGGCATGGGTTCTGGCATTTCCATCTCCATTTGGGCTTTTCTTTTTGCATAAGATTCAATTACCTTCTGTGTCTCTTTGGAGTGTGTGGGGGGAACTAAAGAAAATGCCAGCTATGAAGCTATGTAGCTCCAAACATTTTAGCTTAGTAAGGCTGTGGATCTTCTCCCTGAGTCAAGTGGATATGGAATAAAGTTGGCGGACAACAGTCTCACATAAAACCTGCTGAAGACAGGGCGAGGAGACATCTTAAGGTTAGGCACAGCAGAATCCTATCTGCAGAAACTCTCTCCAGAAGATTTCTAATGTATTTGCATCTCCTTGCTGCATCACCCAGAATTAGCTATTTAGATGCCAGTCACACAGAGAGCACAGATGACAGGAGCAGATTAAAGAGAAGTACGACATCAGAAAAATAAGAGGCAGCAATAGGTACAGTGGGTTAAGTCATCACTTGCAATGTTGGCGTCTCACATCCCAGTGCCAGTTCCAGTCCCAGCTGTTCCACTTTTGATTCAATTTCTTGCTAATGTGTTTCGGAAGGAAGCAAAGGACGGCCCGAGTACTTGGGCCCTTGCCGCTTATGTGGGAGAGCATGATGGAGTTCCTGGCTCTTGGATTCATCCTGGCCCAGTCCTGACTGTTGTGACAAGTTAGGAGGTGATACAGCAGCTCTCTCTCGCTCACCTCTCTTCCCTTCTCTCTGTGTCACTCTGGTTTTTGAATAAATAATTTTTAAAGATTTTATTTATTTGATAGGTAGAGTTACAGAGAGAAGAGAGACAGGGAGAAAGATCTTCCATCTGCTGGTTCACCCCCAAATGGTTCCAATGGCCAGAGCTGGCCCAATTGGATACCAGGAGCCAGGAGTTTCTTTTGGGTTGCAAGTGGTGCAGGGGCCCAAGCACTTGGCAATCTCCTATTGACTTCCCAGGCCATATCAGGGAGCTGGATCAGAAGAGGAGCAGCCAAGACTAGAACTGGCATCCATATGGGATGCTGACAAGCAGGCAGAGGCTTAGCCCGATATACCACAGCACCGGCCTCTTGAATAAAGATTTTTAAAAGAAATTTTGACTCCTTTCTTCTCAGGAGGAGATTTAGTTCATACCACCTCTAAGTTCCCCAAGATAAGGTCCAGCTGTAATGGGGGGCAGAGAAAATATGATTGCTATACAAGATACTATAAATTATACGCTGTGCAGGACTCTACTGGACTTTTAAAAAGATTAGCATATAATTCTCCGCCTGTGGCGCCGGCACCCCGGGTTCTAGTCCCGATTGGGGCACTGGATTCTGTCCTGGTTGCTCCTCTTCCAGTCCAGCTCTCTGCTGTAGCCCGGGAAGGCAGTGGAGGATGGCCCAAGTGCTTGGGCCCTGCACCCCATGGAAGACCAGGAGGAAACACCTGGCTCCTGGCTTCGGATTGGCGTAGTTCCAGCCATAGTGGCCATTTGGGGGGGTGAACCAATAGAAGGAAGACCTTTCTCTCTGTCTCTCTCTCACTGTCTAACTCTGCCTTTCCAAAAAAAAAAAAAAAAAAAAAAAAAAAAAAAAGATTAGCATACATTTAGATTAATTTGGAAGAATGGCTTAGAGTAGTTGCTGGATTATATTATACTGCATTGACATTAGGCATGGGTTGGCTACATGACTATTACCTCACTGGAGAAACTTGTTATTTAAAAAAGAGACAGGCAAGTAAATGAGGAAAAAAAAATATTGATACAGACATCTTCCTCTGTAGAGGAAACCCCCAGCCATGGGACTTCTGAGTCTTTAGTTTCCTTGGTGAGATGAAGACGTCCCAGCCTGAGGCCATTCATGCAACTTCCCATGCTGATATTCTAGGCTCACGGAAGAAGTTTCAGACTCACATTTTGTTCCATGACATATACAAACAAGTAAAAAATGTGATTATCATATGGATGCTGAATATCCTAATTTCTGAGTCAGTGATTTCTTGTAAATTCTCAAATGTGTACTATATGTCAGTCTTTAAGGCATAACAATCTGCTATGACAGATGGATACAAGGAGTACCGAGTTAGGTTTTTTAACTTAATCATAGGAGCCCCACTGAGATGATTATAAATCCTCCATCTTCTTAGAACTTTTTAAGAAGTCTCGGGAGAATCTAATATCCTCTTCTGGGTGACAGGGTTAGGATGGTGTATACTGTTATGGCATATCTAGACTTAACAATATTTTATTCATGGTTGTACTTGTCTTGAGTGTTCAGTAGTGTAAGAAGCAATCCGGTTTCTATTTTGTATTGATTTACAGAATTCTACAATCAATCCCAATCACCTATTATCCTGCCTTGTTTTTTATCATTAAGCAAAACAAGATCTTCCTGTATCCAAGTTAATAATAGTTTTAATTCAGTAGTTGATACCACTCATTTATTCACTTTGTATGCTATCTTTTAAATATATTACATATCCACAAAGAACATTATCCAAAATAATGTTTCATCATTAAAAGAAATAATAAGAGCTCACCTGTTTGGAGATTTTATTTGTAGTGTGTGTTCAGTGGTTGATGACTGGCTTTTTAAAACAAACAAATGTAGTTACTCTCAGTTGAGCAATCAGATGTTAACACTGATGGGACAAGAATTGCTTAATTTCTACTTCCTCCATGTTCACTGGTATTGGTTCTTCCCTCACTTTTTTTTTCTTGCTTTTTGTTGAACCCTGACTGATCTGCCTTGATACTAAGGCATAGTCTTCACAGGAGGGACAGTATGAAGGATTGAATTCCTTACTATTTTGTTCTGCCTTTGTAGATCTCTCAAGGTATCTGTACATTCTAACTCAGAGAGTCTGACATTGGCGATTTTTTTTTATTATTTCCTACGCTAATTTCTTCTTCTTATAGTCAGGAAATCAATTTTCACCATATAATAAAACTCTACTTGTAAAAGAAGTTCCAAAAATTGTTCTAACTTCTCAGGATCAATCAACTCTATGATTCAAAATGATATGATTTTCAGTAAAAAATTGGGCTTTCAGAAAACAATAAAATATATTCATTTTGAAATAAACTTTAGATGGAGGATGATTTTTTATACTTTGCTCATGAATACATATACAAGGACATTTGAAAAACTTTGTGGAAAAGTGGTATTCAAAGTTTCTTTGGCTGCAAAGTTGAATATATGCATTGATTTTGCTACTACACATTTTACATACACTTTTGAAGCTCCCTCATAGAAGATATCCGCATTTTACAATATGACTTTCACACTTATTAATGGAAAACTATTGATAATAGAAAAGAAGTACACATTTTAAAAAACCCAGCCATTGCACCTAACATATCAGCATTGTCATTTCATCAACAAAATTTTAAAAGTTAATTCATTCCCAAAGAATTGCACTTTGGTTCTGTTAAACCCTTCAAGCTTCACTAAAGATGGAAAACTTTCTAATTTTTGTTGAAATAAAAGAAAAAGTTAAAGGAAAATAAAAACTAATTACACAGTTATAGTAAAGGCCATCTCGAATTACTACATTGTGAACTCACTTTGAACTCCATGGGAGCGTACTATTTTCCAGGTTTCTGATGCCACTTCTTTGACATCCACTTGATAGTGATGAATAGGCACACCTCCGTGGGAGTCCGGTTTGTTGAAAGAAACCTTGGCTGTGGTCTGTGACAGCTCTATGATCTTCACTCCATAGGGACTCGATGGTACATCTAGCAAGGAGTAAACAAGGAAACATGACTCAGGTTATGTGGATAGCCATTACTGAGACAGGTGGTGCTATGAGAATTAGGAAAAAAAGCAAAATTGCTGTCTAGAGTGCTTAAAATATTTTTATTGCAAAGCTTGCATAAGCACTTGAATTTTATCTTCAGATTGTCAGAAAGTATACACAAATCAATATTTATCATCACAGCAAATAAACAACAAAGCATTCAGAATTGCGCTTCATTTGTTGAAGGGATGGTTTACTTGTCCATTTTCTGTACAATAGAGACATATAATTTGAGTTCAACGGAAACAGGCTTTTGTGTGTCTTTGAGTGTGTGTGTGTGTGTGTATGGGATACAGAGAAAGAACGATAAAAAGGATAATTAAAATGTAAGAATATATTTTCATTTAATCATTATCATAAGTAATAATTTCTGTTGAAAATGAGAAATGCATTTTCTTTTTATTCATCAAAATTATATTGCTAACCATAGAAAGTGTTAAGTACAGAGAATGCTGCTATTTGAACTAAACAAAACAGCAAGCTGTATGTTATAATTTCACTTATAGATTATTTAACTAAAAGTAAAATTTAAGTTGAGAAATTGATGTGTTAATCTCTCGATGTGAAAAAATATCTATAAAATATTTCCTTTGTGTGTTACATCAATCCATTACTTATATTATTTCAAGTTCAATATGGTATTGTAATGAGAACTTTTAGATTCTAATATACATAACATTTTTGAGAAAGTATTATCTCAAAAGCAAAATGAGTGAGAGGAAAAGAAATGATAGAAAAAGAATCTTAGTGATTAACAAAACTTGTACTTAAGAAACAAAATTATGTAGAAGCACATTAAACACTAAAGGAATTTGTCTTTCAATCTCTTTCTCTTTTCCCTATTACATTTAAAATTATTTTAAACTGTGAAAAAGAAAATTATCACGGATATTTACAGAAAGAGCTTATTTATATATACATAAAGAAATATTTGTGTGCCTGTGTATTTATGTACATATATATACCATGATTCATAAAAATTCTATAAATGTAAATTTACATTCTGATGCCCATCGAGTAGTCATATAAAAATCATGAATGGCAATCCAAAGTCAAATGTGCCTTATTTGCTAGAGTTGAAAGAAAAATCACTGTAAATTATATTAAAATGTGCAACATAAGTGTTAGTGGGCAAGAGGCAGCAGGGAAAGTTTATGGCCTTTTGGATATGTGCACTGTAAATAAATATAGCAGTGCATATATAAGCCTTAATTAGTAACTGTAAATTATTTAGAGATCCTATGAAGTACATTATGCTATAACTCTAAGATTCAGCGATAAATGTCTGGAATACTAATGCATCCAAAAAATTCATAGTGCTTTTAAAAATCACATCTGGATATACAAATTTTAAATTTTCAAAAGAATGTATCTGAACTATAATACATAAATATTCTCATTTTTCATACATTAATATCTAAATATTCAAGCTTTTTTGTTTGTATGCTTGATTGAAAATTTCACAGGGAGTTCTGATTCAAAACAAAAGAGAAACACAAACCAACATGGTTTGCCCTTAGTAAGACTGCTAATCCTTCAATCCATGCCCATGTGACTCTGTAATGACTACTGGTTTAAGTATAACATCACAGTAATTATAACTTTAGTTAGATAAATGTATAAAAAGTGAATGTAGTATATCTTGGAGGAAGAAAAGACTTTATAAGGGCACCCACATTTGAGTGTGTGATGTATACATGATCCTTGTTTTTACTCTGACTATAGATGTAGACACAAACTGCAATCCTAATGTAGTGTGTGGAAGGAGAAACAAGAGAATAAGAGTCTTTTTCTCTTATTACAAAAGTTATATCATCACTACATGAGCCAGTAGCTGTCTTTTTCTATCCATGTAGTATATGTTCAGATTTGCTAACTCTTACCCTGGTTTTTCATTTATATTATTTTTTGTTGGCCTCTTCTTTCTCCTATCTGATTAAAAGAAAAATCATGCTTAGTCCTTGCAGCTCTAGTCTCTTTCTAAGCAATTTTAATTTACATTATTATCTTAGCTTCCAAACTACCCTCTAACTACTAATCTGTAAGTTATCTGAGGAAATGTATATATATATATATATATATATATATATACCTCTCTCACACATACATATTTATATTTATATATACTACTCCTATATAATACTTTCAGATACATATATTTATACATGCATACATGTTTCCCTAGGAAACACTTTATGACTTAAATATTTCAGTAATTAAAAATAATATGAAAAATAGAAAACATGTCCAAATGAATAATAATATCTGATGTGCCTAAAATTCATCAATTCTTTTTATTTGCTTAGCTGCTTTGGTATTACTATCTCCTTCTCTTATGTACATCAAAAATAGTCACTATATTATTTTCTCAATGCCTTCATTGTAACTTATGAATCTATCTCTTCCTTCATGTTTCCACTGACTTGCATATCCTGGATCTATGTACTTCTCCCTGCAATTCCATTAGTGAATCTTGGCTTCCTTTTGCGACTGGATTGCCCACCAAGCTTCAATCCATATGTTCTGCAAATGCAAAATCAATCTTTCCAAAGAACCACTCTAATCACATCACTTCCCTGAGAAGGGCACTCAGGACCATTGTCTTCTTTTACAACATCAATCATAGTCTTCAGTTTTATCCTCAAGTTCCTGGATCACTGAACTCAGTGGGTTTGTGCAAACAGAAGGATAATATGGTAAAATACTATCAAACACAGTCCAAGATTTCAGTAAGTCACATGGATATTCCACCATTGTATGGAGTTTTGAATAATTATATCCACTACTAGGTTTGTCAAAAGTATCATGAAATGTGGAACATTTATTACAGTATCTGGAATATACCAAGCACTCGGTACATGCTAGTCAGTGTAAATGCTGCTATCCTTCCCTGATAATCATCCTGCTTCTATTACATTCATCTGTATACATGATATGTGTCACTTTCTGGGTATTTATTGGTATCCACCAATGTTTTAGTGAAACAATATGGAATTGAGACAATATAGAAGTTTAAGTCAGAAAATTATGCTTTGCATAACAGAAAAGAGGCGATGCCATAACCTAGGAGTCAAATAGGAAGAATCGTTGGATTCTTTGTATGACTCTGGGAAAATTAAAAACTTATTGAGTATCATTTTCCTCACAAATAAAATACCAACAGTAATGTGTTAAGTTGTTGAGAGAGTAAGTTGGTGGATATAATTAATTGGAAATTCACATGTATTATCTCTATTATTTGATTGTTAAGAATTGTGGGAGCTAAAATTAAAGAAAAACAGAGTGAGAGTGATGGGATGAGGTGTATATGGTAAAAAAAAAAGGTCACATACTTTGTTGGATACATGTAAAACTTTTTTGAAATAAAATCATAAAAAAATAAGTGACAGCATATAAATGATATTCGTTGACATTTTGATATTTACATGCTCGTAAAACCGTAGTTTCCTCAAGCATAAATGTGAAAAGTTATAAAGAGTCAGTCTTGGTGATAATTTGACCTCATTTCAACCAGTAGAGTAACAAAATGAGTTGCTCTTCTGGTTTAATTCTGACAAAAGAAAGGCATACAGCAAACGAAAAGAAATTAATAAGTGAAATGAAATGGAAATATGTGAATCCTTATTGAAAAGAAGCAAGTAGTAATAAATTATTGATATATCTATTTATCTATCTTTCTAACGAGCTATCACTTATGCATCCATCAATTCTGTTGAAATGATTAGAAACAGACTGGAAGGGATACATACAGTATTATGTTATCAAACAAAATAGCATTTCAAAATGACGATACACTATAAAATAAAATGTTGAAAACATACATCCACAGGTAAGAATGAAGAAGAAAATGAAAGGGACTAATAAAATAGATTTTAATGTAGATGCAAAGGAGATCTTGATGAGTACATTTTTAAAGTAATATTGTCATTTTCTCAAGAATGTGTTGACTATTAGGTTTTTGTGTGTGTGAGTTTAGTTCCATACAAATTGTAAATTTTTTTCTATTTATGTGAAAATGATCCTTACTATTCTATAGGAAATGGATTGACTGTTTATCATTTTGGTGGTAAAAAATTTTAGTAACATTAATTCTTCCAATCCATGTACATGGGATGTCATTCTATTTATTTATGTCTTCTTCAATTTCTTTCATCAATCTTTTAAAGGTCTCATGTTGAGATGAGATCTTTAATCTGCATGGTCAAAATCATTCCTTTGTATGATTTTTGGCATCTATTGTAAATGAGATTTTTTTATTTGTTTTTCAGATAGTTTAGTATTATGTTATGTGTATACTGGTTTTGTAGTTTGCAATAATACTGAAGACTGAAGACACCTAACATTCCCATTAAAGCAATATATACAATAGATGAGATAGAGAATCAACTTAAAAAGCCAGCAACAAATGATAGATGAAGAAATGTATAAATACACAACAGAATATTATTCAGCCAGACAGAATGAAATCCTGTCATCTGTGAAAACATGGATGATCTGAAGATATTATGTTAAGTGAAACAATCCAGAAACAGATATCTCCTTCATTTGTGGAATCTAAAATGTTGACCTGATAGAAGTAAAGGGTATAATGATGGTTTCCAGAGGCTTGGGTGTTTAATGGCAAGGAGAGAAGGGGGACATGTTGGTCAGGTATACATAGAGACAGATGGGAAGAATGAATTTCAGGAAATCTACTGTACATCAATTTGACCATTTAAGAGCATTTTTGGAAAACATGTTGAATAAATTTAATGTGCTTCCATCACAGAAATTGGAACTTTATGAGGTAATATACTTATTAACTGAGAATACTCAACCATTCTTCAATGTATGTATACTTAAAAAGATTAGTAGTATAATGGTATTTTCAATTTAAAAAAGAGAGAAGATAAAAATTTTGAAAAGGAATGTGAAACATGGGCTTATAAACTAGCAGAT